TGGTGCTCTGTCTGAAAAAAAATGGATAGCTTACAACTATTTTCAAGTTGGAGAGTGTAAGACACTAGTGTTACAAAAACATTTCAAGTTTCCTAATTTTCTGCCAGTAGAACCACTTCTGAAGAGAATGCTTTTTTATTTGTATGTGTTTCTGGTTTCCCTTTGAAATAGACCTCTGAGGTCTATTTATCTGGGAAAAGTGAAATCAAATCTGAGTTACAAAACGTTTTTACTCAACTCTGTTCTGAAACTTCCACTACATATTCATCCAGTGAAGAAGAGGCCAGCTACAGTTTGAATTTTTATTACTGAGATTAATTTCAACCAGGTTTCTGAAAGAAAAGTAGCTTCCAACAGAAAAGCCTAACTTCCCATTTCATTTCAGTTTTGGAAGCACTCTAAGATAAACTGACATTTTGCTTAAAACAACAAAATATTTCTATCTTAAACACACAAAGGTCCAGCTACCAGGAAAACATGGTGCATCCTGGTACAGCATATCAGTAACACAGCGCTCCGACCACACAGCTAGAGAATGTGGGAGCTTCACAATGAACAAATACACTGCGGCCCAGCCCTCTGCCCACAAGGGGTGCAGTACAAAAACTCATCGGAAACCCTCTCAACTCAGAAGTTAAGATCACAGTAACCTATTCCTAGCACCTATATAAATACTTCATAGGTTTAATGCCTACATATGAGAAATAATGCTTACAGGCATCTTCAGGCTATTATCCCCAAACAGATGCAACCGATAACGTAATTCCCTCTACTGTCATTGTTCAGTTTCTCTAGGAAAAACTCCACCTACTTTACTAAGCCCAACATTGTGGTATTTCTTTTCCATTATTTTCTTCACTGGTTCCTCCTCTTTGAAAGTAATGAAGCAGAATCCACGCCTCTTGTTAGTTTTGTTGTCCATGGGAAGCTCTATCGATTCAACCTGGTAGAAGACAGTGATTTTATCTTTTATCCTGCCATTCAAGCCATTTAAAAATGTTTCTAAAGGGTCGTATTTGTCAACCGAAATTATTTAGACTTGAATATGATAATGTGCCTCCTACACAGGGCTTTACATCACTAGAAAATATCACCATCAACATCACAAACATCACCTTCATTAGAAACAGTGTTCATAATTGTGTGAAAATTTTTTTTCCTCGAAGTCATAGTATCATTTGCCCATTCAGGAACCCATATAAAATATGGTGCACAAAGTATTTGAATTGTGCTGGATAAAGTCCCAGTTTGACTTTCAGTTTTACCTCAGTTAAGACTGAAGTAACTAGGTGTTCCAAACCTTGAGCATACCTAAACCTTCAAGTTTCGTATGGAAAAGATGTAGCTTTGTTCAACCTCATAGTTCTGTTCATCCACAACGCTGCTAAAATTGTATGTTAAACAGAACAAGTTTTACACCTGACTACAAAACACAGAGTCAAGTTCTCCTTACACGTCACACAAGACTTCAGCCCAGGCAAACATTCGTTAAAGTCTACAGTCCAGAGTGAACTGTCCATAAGGCAGTAAGACGGCAGGTATTTGACAACCAAATCCCCCGATAACAGTGTTGTCATGACCTGATGCTGGCAACATCTGAGAACTAACAGTGAACCAGCACCTGTACCAAGCTCATACAAGGCCAGCTTTTAAGTACTGCAGTGGTATTTTGTTCATCTGCACTACCAAAAACTGGGGAGACAGAGAGACAGAGACTACATAGTTGAACAGAATTTAGGCAAACTATCTGAATCTGTGCCATAGCAAATCAGCTGGGGTGGCTGAAGAGCATCTCACCCAACTGACCAAAGCAGCACGTTCAAAAACATTGCTTCCCATGCCTGTCCCAGTCAAGACTGTCAGACATCCCATGAATCAGTTCCTAACTCTGACTTATCCCAGCTCTTCCTTCCATTAACCCAGTTTATGTAACTCAAAGCCTGTAATTAATACTCTTTTTAAAGTTATGACTACTAAGACACATGGAGCTACACTGGACATTAAGCTCAGAGTAGCGTCCATGCAGGTTGCATTTGGGGGCTACTTTTCATTACTAAATTTGTGAAGACAGAATAAGTTCTACAAGTATAAGCAGTTTATTTGACCATGTACCTCACCAAAACCTCCAAAATATTCCCTTATTTTCTCCTCAGGTGTGTCTGGAGATAAGCCGCCAACAAAAATCTTTTTAACAGGTTCTTTTGTTTTCATGGCTTTAGCTCTTTTTGGATCAATGACCTTTCCATTCAGCTTGTGTTCCTTCTGGTCCATGACCTGTGGAAAATTAAAACATGTTCTTCTTCATGGTTCGAGCCAGATGTTTAACTGATGTTTTGAGCAAGGCCCAGTTATTTTATACTCAGTTTTTGTTAATGCTATCACTTCAATTTCAATATTTTGATTACAGCAATAACTTGTTGCACAAAACCAAACAGTTCCATGATTTTGATCACTATCCACCAACACAGACAGTTCTGACAAAGCCTTTCAAGTGTTACCTGAAGTCATGTTATCACCCAAGGGAAGTAAGAGTGTAACGTTCCTCAGAACACACTCTACAATCCCATTCTCAAACCTCTTGAAGTAAAGAATCTGTACTTCAGATATCACCAAAGGTCAATGAAGGTCAAAACTTTCCAGTGTCCTGCATCAACAGCATTTTAGAAAGGTTAACAGCCGATTTTTGCTTGGATAAAGCCCAAATCTATCAAACCCAGCGACACTACTCTAGGGGTTCATGTTACAGCTCTGGAATGCAAAGACTTTAAGCTCTCTCTGTAAATTACCGCTTTCACAGTAGTAGGCAGCAGATGTTTATACACAGTATTTTTGAAGTGCTCAAGTCCAGTGACTTGCAGTACACTCTGCATCCCCTTTCAGTATCCAAAGCTATACGTTAGCAATCACTGCTGGTCCTGGCTACTGCATCATGAGTAAGACGGTTTAGGAAAAGAACCTTTCAATAAGCATCTTAAATATATTATATTCCAGAATCATGTTTAACAGATCATGTACAAACACCTATGCATACAACCATCTGAGTGCTCTATCTTTGGTACCTAAAATTGAACATGTTGTTTCATTACATTAATACTACCTTATCTACGCTCTCCGATTCCTTGAAGAGTACAAAGCCGAAGCCTCTTGATCGCCCAGTGATGGGATCTAACTTCAGAGTGCAGTCTACAACTTCACCAAATTTAGAGAAATAGTCCTTCAGATCTTTCTTTGTAGTGTCCCAGCTAAGGCCGCCGATAAACATTTTCCTGTTAAGACAAGATGGTTAATCTGTTAATGTGTCTTACCCAAAAACCTGTACTGTCAAGTTTTATGAGCAGTTACCTAATGTAAGGAACAGGCCTGCACTTCTTGAGAACTTGCTTAAATGATCATAAGAGTGCCACAGCATCTTCTGCTGCAGTTGCTTACTCTCCTATCTCAAGAATTTACAAAGAGTAACAAAAAGCTATTTTACTATTTCCTTGCATCCCCAATCACTACTGACCCACGACAGGCTTAATTCCATTACCTGTGGAGCCTCCACACAACTGCTTATGAAACAAACACAGGCAGAATAGATTTATAAGGCAGTGCAGTTAAACAGAAGCATTTACATGCTAGTCTAGGCTGGACATGTGCCAATATCAGTAAACTAAAACAAATAAAGAAAAGTTTAGTCAAGTCCCCTTCCCCAGAAAGCAGTAAGAAACCAAAGTATTGAATGGTCAAAACTTATCTTTCCTCCCCAAACCATGATATAAACACATGGCATAATCCAATAGAACCACAGGAACATCTTCCCAAAATCCTACCCACAGGACCGGTGTTGCTGGGCAAATGTGTACAGCAGATAACCCTGATCATGACTTGTATTTTCAAAAGCAAACTGAAAGCTTAGAAACAAATTAGGACCATTAGTAGGCCTCGGGGGGAGGGGTGGGGGGTGGGGAATCAAGAACTGCTGTGTCTTGAGAGGAAACACTTTATGATTTGCATCAACTAAAAAATCAAGCCAGTACACACACAAATGACACATTCCGAGTTGTCAGACATAGGGCTTATGCACCCACCCTAAAGAGGATTTGGTCTGAGATGATCTCTTCTAATACTAATAAAGAAGATTTTACAGTGGGCTCAAAACAAAAAGCGTGATCCATTATGATCTATAAAAATGCTTCCTACAAAGCTTTGCCCATTTTCACTATGCCAATTTATTCCACAATCACATGCACAACTGAAAACCTGAAAAACCACTGTAGTATCTTTCCAACTCCTCCACTTTCCACACACATACAAATACTTCTGCCAATCATGTGCAATCACATTGTACTTCCACAAGTCAAACTCTCTCAAATCAAAAGCTGCTCATGGGAACCAATTCTTGTTGGATTAGTTAATTCTGTAAGAGCACAGCAAGAGCATTCAGCTTCTGATAAACATATCCAACTTCCACATAGATGATGGGGTTCAGGAGCTTCAGATGTTTCTATAAAAAGTCTTGAAGTCTAGCAACAGAAGTACCAATTCCCCATCCCTTTATCCACTTTTCCCATTAGTTCCAGATCTCTCTTCAACAAAGCATGTAAAGCCCTTTCTTATTTGTTTGTTTTGTGCGGTTTTTTTTAAGCAGCAAAACAGACTACATACAGAGGATGCAGCATCATATTCCTGACACATGGGGGACAGTGACACTCTAGCAGCTACCACCAAACATGCACCTGCTACCTGACATAGAAAACACCTGTTTGATGGTTATTAACATAAACATACAAAACCTCTTTTATAGTTAAAAAACAATCAACATCAACATAAAAACCTCTGCTTTATATCATGAAGCACACGACAGACCAAGAAAACCACTTTGAAATTGACAGCCCACTGAAGGATTTTCTTCCCACCATGCAATAACTGCGAGTCCAGCTACAGAGCGGCAAAACACGACTGCTTCAACTTGTCACTACAGAAGCTACCGCCCGAGCCCCTCCCCTCCGCGGCAGACA